GACAATCAAAACCACTGAAAACCTCTAAAGGCTTGCAAGTAAACCCCACTTTAAAACCGCTAAGGTTGCTAGACGAAAACCCTCATTTTTCGAGTGGTTATTTTCAATTACAATCCAAATTACATGCACAATTTCAACAGCATCTTCAGAGATTTATTCGTTAGCCACTTTACAGTAATATTATTTGAACATACAATGTCCTCAAGTCCTCAGCCTGCTAAGAGAATGAATGCAAATCAGCTCAACTAGATTTAAACCCGATATTTTAGCGTATAATCTGATATCACCGACAAGGGTTAGACACGCGTAATTTTGAATTATGACTTATATACCCAATGAATTGTAATTTAACCCGATCCAATCTCGGCCGTATACGTCGTTATTGTTGAGGAATTCGGGTATCTCTAGCACTTGCAGTCAAAGACATGTGCAATCCGATTATCTAATTGGCTCTATGTAGATGAGAAATGCTCTGTTTGATCTCATTAACATCACTTCCCGTTAACCTTCATGTGAGATTTGTATTGTTGCCACATGAGACTCCGCAATGTGATTGCATGGAAGTTTATTACATAAAAGTGCTAGAAATTCCCTATAAATTCACTTAAGATTGTCTCTGGAAGTCGAGGAATTGTAGCTTAAATATTCCCTAACTTTTGACTGCGAGTTGTTTCTCAGTCGATGATCGGATTTCAATACTTTTTGTCAAATTTCCTGCACAAAATTGTGGTTATAAAATAATTTTGATTTATTTTCCTGACTGCGTGTAATTGTTATTATATTTTTTCTTTCCTGGGTTTCAGTCAAAAGGTGCAATAAAAATGTTCATATTACGTTTGGGCGAGACAACAGCGCCATCAACAGATTTCAAATTCAAATCTAATCTTTGCAGTGCAAATGTAGACAATAATTCAATTAAATGTGAGGTTTTGAAGACAGCCAAGCCTAAAAAGAATCTAATGATCCCAGTTATGGGTTTGTTTGAAAGAAGATGGAAGGAAAATATAATAAGTTATAAAAGAAGCAAAAAAAAATGAAGAAAACATATTGAGCAGGTTGCTTAAATACTGTTGTGTTTCCTTAATCAAAGGTAACATTGTTATTTTGTTCACATGGCCTTCTTCTGTAAATTTAACCATTTTGCTGAAGAACAACAGCAAAAAGCATCAGCAAAACACAATTTTTAATCGACTCCTTAAGTCTGAGTTAAAGTACGTGAATAAATTTGAAACTGTTCAATTTGCATAAGGAAAAATGAATACACTTCCATGGCAATCAGCTTGAAAGGCCGAAACCCCCCCAATGCCAAATTAACTTGTCGACTATCAGAGAAGATAATGGGCCAATTTGTAGTAGTCGGGATAAAAACCAGCCCCTCTTCCCGTTTGTTCTAGTGAAAAAATTGGCCTGTCATATTTAAAACTGGAGGCAAATTAATATTTATTATCTCGGTCCCCTTAATGTCCTAATACTTTGGGCGATGATGACGGTTTTGTTTTCTGTTTATTTTTCGGTCGGATTTCATTCGTCTGCCCGGTTGTTATCGATGGCCATTTTTATCCCGCGCTGTCGCAAAATAAAATGAATTTGGCCGAAAAACAATGTGGCCTTATTAAGATCGTTTTAGATCATCGGATGGGACTGAAAATGTCGAGTCATTTTTCCGCTAAACTATCAATTTTTACCCCGTTGTGTCCACGAATTATTCATTTAGAGTCTTGGCCATCGGGTTCAAGCAGCTGCGACGACAAGTTTTAGGTCTTGCCTGTTTGCAATGCTGATTTTTGGGACAAATCCAGGGAAATTCTGTTTTCAACAATAAGGCCACTGCTGCTTCCGATACTCAGAACAAGACGAAATAAACGCGCAACGACAGAACATCTTAAAAAGATACGAACTAAATAACGCACTTAATTCATGTCAGCCACAAAAGTAATTTCGAATACTGAAAACACACATAATATCATTGAATATTAAAAAAGATTCGCCAAGTGCCCCATTTGGCCATTTAACACTGTTATCAACAAGAATGAAATGAACGTCGTAAAATCTAACGAGCATTTTACTATCAGCATTGCAATAAACTGCCATAGGGTCAAGTGATCATTGGTAATAATTTAGAAATTATCGCAGCGCAGTTTGACGGGAAATCTGCCCATTTCTGCGAGAGAATCGTAAAAAATATATATAAAACTTTTTATTTGCTAATTTTAAGTGGCGATTTTATTCGAGATTTTACGAAGCTTTTATGGATCTCTTCGACATTTCAGAAACAACAAGAAAAGATAAAAATATAATTGATATGCTCGTTTTTCAAGCATGTTCTAGGTTTCATAATTTCATTGAGTATGACATACATTTTAATTCAAAAATTACATTAGAATAATTTTATTGTTATTTCCATCCAGAAAATCTCTATTCGCTGGTGGGAAAGCAGACTCTGAGCTCAAATTATTTTTTTATATATGACGAAAGAGGCAGCGTTATGTTTGCACCATTTTGCAATTTTGCGCAAAATTAATTGCTTCCTTTAAAAAATTGCCAACATTTCCCGAAAGATTGGCTTCGCTTTGCACTCCTGTTAGTGAAAAAGTTGAGAGAAAAGAGCGGTTTAGCAAACCAGTGGAGCAAAACATGAAAGTTTGGTCTAATTTTCAAAATTTTTTCAATGTGTTTTGTGTGAAAACTGCCACTGTTTTATAACTCAAATTTGTAAATCGGCTTCTCAATTTTCTATCCATTGGTAGGAAAACTGGTTCTATAGCTCAAGTGACTTTTGAAAACCACCATATTAAGCCGCGCAAAACTAATAGATCTCCTTAAATTTTTGCGTTTTTTGGTGAAAAACTAACAACATTTCTCAAGAAATGTTGGTGCTGTATAGAGTGGCTAAAAATACGAGCCCCAGTTAATTTTTATTTCTACTTAGTTATACTAAAATTTTAGTTAATTACTTGAGAAAGGTTGTAACTTAGTTAACGGATGAGTGTCCAAAACTTCGACCGCAAGCAACTTCTCCGTAGCCTCTTAATATGTAATGCGCTCAAAGATGCAGGCTTGAATTCCCTTTGATCAAGAAAACTTTATTTTTGATAGTAAGTAAATGAGTAAGTAAGTCCAGGGAAAGTTTGCGCACAAACTCGACCAAAATCGCTCTGCCTGCGAGGCACTGAATAAGCTATTCCTCCAAAAAAAAACAGTTAATTCTGAGCCAATCTTATTAGCTATTGATTGCCTCATATCGAGACTCTGCTGCAGACAATAAATAGTTGAGGAGTTTCGCGAATCGGCAAAGTTCAAGAATAAATATTGGCGCTACTGTGACAAATTGCATGCACGTTCCGATTGTTTGCATTAACTTCCCCGTGTTTGAAGTGAAAGATCCTCGAGGTGTATGTGGATGTTGATTGCGAGCTTGCTGAAATAAAAATTCCGACGCATTTTATGCTTTTTGTGCTGATGTTTTAGTTTTTCCCATAAAATTCGATTACTTTTCAAAGATGTTAACAAACGAGCTATGAACCATCTTTTCCAGTTTTTCAACCATGAGTATTTTACTGAGATTTTAATCCTTCTCCTCTCATTATTTAATTTTTTAGATTTACTCATTATTTTCAGTTCCACAGCTTTTTTCCTTCTTTTTGCTATTCTATTATTTTAACTCAGAGGAATCGTTTGAGCCGAAAGTTCATTACAATCGGTTAGGTACCAAATTTGTATTAGTTTTGTGTCCATAAAGTGTACCTGCTGCTTCACGAAATGTGTGTTTTTGTTGGAACTTTAATTGGAAAATTTCCATAAAACTGTTTTAAAATTTCAAGTGTATTTCGTAAACAGCAAGAAAAAGTAGAAATGTAACTGAATATGCTCGCTTTTCAAACATTTTGAAGTATATTTCATAATTTAATTGAGTATGATACACATTTTGATAAATAATTTGAAATGGATTATTTTAGTTATTTCCTTCCATGCTCTTTTGTTCAAATGTCCCCAATTTGGATTAATTACTCTGGAAATGTTTACTTTTAACTTAATTAGAGGATGAGAATCCCAAACTTGATACTGAGCCCTTAATATGAGCTGGATGGAATAAAAATACCGACGCAGTTTCATCCTTTTTGTGCTGGTGTTTTTTTGGTAAAATTCGCAATTGTTGGCTTCTGTAACGTGTTCGTTTTTTTTGTCGAACTGGAGGATGATTCTTTTCAATAATTTGAGGTTTTGTGCTTGCGCCACTTTTACTGTTCATTTTGTGCCTCTATTGAATTGCTTGAGTCGAAAGTCCATTACAATCGGTCCTACATTTATGTTAGTTTTGTCAAGAAAGTGTACGTTATTTCAAGAAATGTGGGTTTATAATTAGGAATAATTGTCAGCGAGCTGTGAGGGAACAACTTGACTTAAAAAGGAGACACTTTTTATCTGCAGCACACAAACTTTTTATTTGCAAATTTTATGTGCAGTTCGGAAACAACAGAAGATAAAATATAGTTTTCATAATTTAATGGAGTATGACACACGTGTTTTAGTAAATATTTAAAATTAGATTAATTTTATTACTCTATTCCATCCTCGTTTGTTCAAATGTTCTCAATTTAGATTAATTACTCCGAAACCGTTACTTAATTAAAGGATTAGCATCCCAAACTTCGACCGCCAGCAACTTCTCCGTTGCCTCCTTATATAAACTGGCTCGAATCAAAATAGCGATGTAATTTTTTGCTTTTTGTGTTGCGTTTTTTTGTCACTACTGCATACTTTTAGATTTTCTGGCATTTTGCTGTTGCAATTTTCTTTTGCTCCTCTGGATCTTTGCTCAATGACTGTATGAGACTGCTTGTGTTCGGCTCAGTTTGTTTTATGCTTTAGTTTTTCATTCATAAGATCAGTGACTTTCTCTGCCAATTCTCTGCTATTTTAATGCCGATAAAGTGTAGGGGATTCAATAAAATGTAAGTTCTTTTGATTGTTCAAGACTAACTGAACATCTTTGGTTTCAGGAATACTGTCTGCTCAAGTGGATGTCGACAAAAGAGAACAAACAGTCCTAGTAGGGGATCAAGTCTCCTACATGTGTCGAGTGGCAGTTCCCCTACAGTACTGTCGCGTGGAAATTCCCGGGCTGAGATCCTACAACCTGAACCGAGGCATTTCAAACGCCGATGTAAGTTTATCGCTTCATTCCACGCAGGTTTCGATACAATTAACTTAAATTTCTACCCAGGTGTCTTACTACGGCGAAGGTTTGGACGCTGGCCAATGTGGCTTTACCGTCCATCGAGCAAAGGACGATAACAATGGCGAGATAAAATGCACTTTGGGCATCGCCAGTGAGGCTCAGGAATCGGTTGGAACGATGAGCTTAGTGGTGGCCAGAGCTCCGAAACTACCGGAATTGGACCTGAGTCGAGGAGCTGATGACTTGAACGTCTACAAAGTGGATGATGTTCTGCGAGCCACCTGTGTGATCCGAGACGGAAGACCTGTTGCTAATATCAGTTGGTATTTAGGTAGGTTTTTGTTAGCATTACAGCCAGAAGATGTTAATGATGAAAAATATGTTTTTTTTAGGGGATGAACTCATTGACGTTGGCGAGCTCAGCATGCCCACCGTTGTGGACTTGGCAAAGGAAAATCTCCAATCAAAGGTGCAAAACCTTACACGAAGGTTACGAGCATCGGATAATGCAAAGTTTCTCAAATGCGTTGGATATCATCCAGCTTACGCTGGAGGCCAGGCGGAAACCAAGCGACGATTGGACATTAAATGTATGTAATTCATTTTCGAATCTCAATCGATATCAAATAGGTGTGATTAACCGTAATTAGATCCGCCGTTGCCTCAACGCCAGCCAATCGAAGAGTTCGGATATGAAATTGGCAAGACTGGAGTGATAAATGTAACTATCCAGGCCAACCCGAAACCAACCATCGAATGGACAGTAAACGGCCAGAAAATTCGGGAAGGCAGTCACGATAATACGGGAATTATGGAGGCTGAATATGCTCAGGATTTGGTGAGTATAAAATCCGATAAACACATTGAAACCCAGAAAACAGACGGGTTCTCAGGGCGATTTTTAATCGATATTTTTTAAAGTTGCAATTTAGTTTAAATGCAAAGAAAAAAATTGGCTCAAAAATGTCTTTTTCTAACAGGGTAACGGCATGTTTATTGCAAGTTTGCGAATAGCCAGAATTAGCAAGCAGGACACCGAAAAAGACTACATTTTAACAGCGTATAATGACCAAGGAAGCGAAGACTACCGAGTGAAAATTTCCACAAATCCTGAACCCAAAGGTAATTGAAACTCGTTTTCTCTTATTTATCATTCTGTTTCAACTAAAATATCAAACTGTTTGATTTTCACACGCTGCAGGAATTACGAAATTTTTTAGGCAGCACATTTATGGTAGGTATAAAGAATTGTATAAATAAGGAAAGAAACGAATCCAAATAATGTAACAAAATTAAATTGATGTGAAGAGCGTGGATAGAACAGGTTTAAAATCTAACGAAAAAGTTGTACAATTTAAAAATTGCCTTTTGTAATAAAGTGTGTAGGTAAACACATTTTAATTTTTTTTTGATTCACATAGACACTTTATTAGTGTACGATTTCTTCCTTCATTGATTTAATTTTTTATTATTTTTTTTTTCTCGTCATGTATAAAACAATGTTTTACAAAGTTTGCTTTTTATCGCGTTTGTCAAATATTTAACTTTCCACCTTATATTCGATTTTAAATCAAACTTTTACCTCAGCAGTAAATAAAACTTTCTTTTTTATTTATACATTGTTCTTTCTCAGGTTACGAAATTGGTGTGGCCGCTATAGTTGGAATCGTTGTAGCCATCATGTTCGTCATTCTAATCGTTTCCATTCTGATTTTCGCCAAACTCAATGGAAGATGGTGTTTTAGCGGTAAGTCATTCTTTTATATTCGCTAACTTGCATACTTTTTTTGGAATTTTTGAGTAATTTTCGAAAATTCTACGCCGCATTAAAGTATTGGAATGTAGTAAAGCAAGTGTTGCCTATTCGAAATGTTTTTGCATAGAAAAATCGATGTTCAGCATGTTTGTTGTAATACGTAAATTGTTATCGAATGATTAATTAGATGAAATCTTCACTATGTATGTGGATAAAGCAAGTTTTAGGGAAAAAATACACCGAGAAAGGGTGTCAACAATAACAAGGAATAATTAGTTAATGAATAACGATAATCCTTAAGGGGATCTGGCAGGTTAACTTTCAACTCCACTAACTTTTAATTTAAGGTGCAACTCATTCCAACTTCTATTATGAATAAACAGCAATTTACGTTGAGGGAACGAAGCATAAATTACATAAGTTTCTCACTTCTGCGCTTAGACATCCAAACAAGGAAATAAGGGTTAAAAAGGCAATTGAACAATAGTTACGAAGAATGTGATGCAAACAGGATGATCGCAAATTATTGCAACTAAAAACTGTAGGTTTGTCACCAAAAAATGTTTTTTCTTTGTGTGAGAAATTTTGAAAAACTCTTTTTAACTCTTCAATTTGTGTCGTAGTGTTTCCTTTTTCAAGATACAGATAGTCAAAATTTTAGCTTTCTTGTCTAATATATTAGAAACCGTTTGAGCTACAGGAATGAAATTTTGTACCCACATTTTCACTATATTATTATTATTTTATGCAGATTTTAAGGGATTGAATGGTTTTTTTCCTCTTATTTCAAGGCCACTGAGAAAACTAGCATTTAGACACCAATTTCTGAAGCTCCAATTAATGCTACATAAAAAAGCCTCATCTTGAGTTTTTGCTCTAGTTAACCGTTTTGAAGAAAAATTGACATTTTTCGAACGATGCGTAACGATGATTTGCCTGCAAACAAGTAGCTGGTAATAGAGTTTTAACTCATTTCGGTAATCCAAATGATGCCTACGATATTCGTAAAAGGGCTAAACCTAAGTTAAATTTTCACGCTCTGCATCTATAAGAAAGTGTTTCTTTGCTCATGCAGAATCAGTTTTCCATTGCGACAGTTATTTAAGAACACCCTGTATAATGCACATTCACATGTTTGTACAAAAATGTTATTAATCTTCCTGTCAATTTGGAAACATTTTATATTTTGAAATATATCTGGTCGACCTTCATATGCTAAATACGTGCAATGAAAAATTATAGATTAATTGATAATGACGCACGCAATCAAAATTATTGATAATTCCTATAAAAAATTTAATTTAAAAACCTAAATACGAAACAAAATATGGATGATAAAAATATTTTTTTTAATTGGAGTTTGCAGATTTTTGCATAAATGTGTGCTGTGCTTTCTTTTACATTCATCAGCAAATTGAAATATCGATTTAAGCAAATTATCTGTTCCAATTGAAAATGATTACAAATGACTAAAGTGAGGAATTTTTATGGCGCAAATGAAGCTGAAACCTTTATATCCCATATACATTTAACTGATTTTCGTTAGATTCAGTGGCACCTGCACAGTTCGTACCAATGAGAGTCGCATTTTTCTAAAAAAATCGCCAGCATCCATACACTTACCAAAAGTGTCGCGTACTTTTGGAAACAAAAAATCTCTTAGAAAACCGGTTCTAAATCACAACAAGAAGTTGCAAGAAAGCGCTTGAACTTCGCGAAACTCCCACTATTCATAGTTGAAATTTACAAGGTGTTTTGCTCTGATTAAGAAAACAACAGCTACTTGGACCATTGAGGGTAGCAGGGCTGTAACATCACAACCGATATACTTCTAGTCTAGTTAGTGCTTATGGTAGATTTAGAAGAGTCAGTTCTAGAGTGCATGCCAGGATATAAATAAAATAACTTTCCAACTTGGAGACACAAGTGAAGCTTTGTAATAGCTGGAGCGTAATGGACAGTTACTTATCAAGGACTTTGATGGTCCAGCAACGGAAAAATAAAGTTGTTTTGTTCAGAAAAGAACAAAAAAACAGGCTTTATGAGTCTTTGGTTAAAGAACGTGGCGCCACCACTAATGAACAGTTTTCGCAATAAGGCCTCCAAACGCTTTTGAAGCAAAATAAATAGAAAAAACCAGTGGAAACTCGATAAACAGGAGACCTGCTAAGCAGCAAAAAGTGAATTTTATTTGCAAACTTTAAAACGTTCCTTTTTTAAAACTTCATGCTTGCTAAACATGAGGAGTATTCATAGAAATCGAAAGAGGAAAATGTTGCAAAAACTGTTTATCAACCCTTCAGTTATTGCTCGAAAAATAAAAGCTGCCGTATTCGAATGGAAGGTAAGTTGCTTTGTCTAGGAGCCGCTTTTGTGTCTTGTTCCGATTCGTTTTCCTTTTACGGTCCCAAAGTAAACTAAGGAAAATTTTCCGACTGTCCCGGAAATCTTTCGTTCCGTTAATTTCCCTCCGTCAGTCCACGGAATGGAGTTTGATTTATTTCGAATTGTAATTGATTGTTTTAGTTTGAGCCAAAATTTTACGAGTAATTTGAAACGACTGAAATTTATTTGATGATGGATTTCCGGAATAATAGTCCCACTAAAAGTCCCTCAATCTTTGCGGAATCACACTTTTTTTATTGCTGAGAAAAGTTTCTAGATTTCAAATAGTAAAACGTTAACTTAGAAGTTTATATCCGAAAAAAAAAGAGGGTGGTAGAAGTAAATTTTGCAATGCCAAACCATCAAAGGTTTAATATTTATGCCCATCCAATAAATCTTGTTATCGTCTACTTGCATGTTAGTGTCTTGTCTAGCGTGATTTAGATCTTCAGCAGTAAATGTCTTGTTCAGTATTTTACGATTTTTTTGCCTCGTTAAGTGCATCGTTCAGAGCTGCATGCAGTATGTCGTGTTTGGTCTAATATGGTATGTCTATCTATTACAGGTTATTACTGAAAATCAATCAAGAAAACATGGGCAGCGCATCTGAGTTCAGGTGCGTTGTCAAAGTAGTCTCAGCTCAGAATTAATCTAAAATGCTTGTTTTTGCTCTGAAATAGTCAGCGTCCACAACAAAGAATAGCACATAACGTCCATCGGTTGTACATGAGAAAATGTATATTTGTTATCAAAATATGACTTCAGAATACTTGGTTGTACAGGGTGTCTCGTTTTCGACACTTTTACGGTGTTCTCTCTGCACAGCTACTAACGAGCTAATATATACAATGGCACTTTCACGAAAACACATGTTTCTTCAAAATTTCGCCGATTATTTCCTTGAAAAAAAAATGTATAGGAAACATCAAGCGACAAATAGGCAAAAAGTTACTGGGTTTTCGCGTGTCGCTGATTTGTCAGACGCCGTTAAACCTTAGGGCGCCATACTGGACCCTTACAGCCTATTTTCAAAAATTGAAAACTCTAAAACGACGGCAAGTGGAAACTTCAAATTTTTACGAAATGCCGGCAAAACATGAAGCCACAAATTGAGCACAAACCGCTTGAAACAAGCCAACCGCTGATTTGTTAGAAACATTTTAACCTTAGGTGGCCCTGCGCAGTTTTAGACACTTTCAAGGCTACTTTCAAACGTTTACAATCCGATATTCAGGACAAGAAAAATCATGAAAATTTTGAAGAACGCGCAAAAATTAAAAAGCAATAATTGAAAAAAAACTACTCAACTTGATACGAACGCTGATTGTTCAGAAGCCTTTAAAGCTTGGGCGAATCCACATCTGAACGCTTAACATGTACAAACTCATTTTCAAAAAATTTGATAATTAGACCACTTAAAAGAATAAAAAACTTCAATTTTTTCCTGTTTTTCAATTCAGGCCCAACTGCTGCGTTCCAAATTCCTACTTTTGGGTTAGTTTTGCTCGAATATAAATTGTAAAACTTGCCCAAGTTTTGCAGTTCGCTCGGCAACTCTTTTTATCCACAGAGGCCAGTTTTGAGGCTTCCAAACACTCAGAATGTGTACTTTAGCCAAAAAGTCCACAAAACTAATAGTTTACACATGCAGCATTTCCAGATTAAAACACACATTTCTTCAAAATTTTGCCCATTTGTTTGCAAAAAGTTTCTCGATTTTCGCGTGTCGCTGATTGGTCAGACGCCGTTAAACCTTAGGGCGCCATTCTAGACCCTTGCAGTGCATTTTCAAAAATTGAAAATTCCAAAACCACGGCAAGTGGAGTACTTGAAATCTTTACGTAATGCGTCGAAACCATGAAGCCACAAACTGAGCAAAGATCACCAGAAACACGACAAAAGCTGATCTTTTGGAAGCTTTTTAACCATACGCGGGGCGGCCCAGTTCCAGCCTCGTTCAAGCGCATTTCTAAAAATTTGGAGCTTTGAATCTAGAGCAAGTGCAAACTTGAAATTTCTACATAATGTGTAGAAAACATGAAGTCACAAAATAGGCAAAAATCACTTGAAACAAGACAAAGGCTGATTTTTAGACGCATTTTAACCTTTCCTGGCACGGCGCGGTTCTAAACTCAGGTTGAGTCAAGACTGAGTTTGTAGCTGATTTCCAAAAGTGTATAGCCGCTAAACTAGGACAAGTATAAATTTGAAATTTTTACAGATTGCGTGGAAAACATGAAGCCGCAAATTTTGCAAAAACCACTCGAAACAAGCCAAGGTTGGTTTTTTAGAAGCCTTTTTAATTTTTTGCGGCACAGCCTTTTTAGACTCAATACTGAATTTCAAGCACATTTGCCAAAATTCAAAGGTCCGAACAAAAAAAAAACAATTGTAAACTTGGAATAAATGAAAAAAATAAATAAACTGGTGATCCGGATATAATCCACTGAAACTTTGTGTCCTTCTTCTTTAAGTTGTGATTTACGTGGTGTCTTTAAGTGTTTTTTTCGAACAAGATGGGTGCTCCAACCCTTAACGCTCTTCGAATAATAAAGTATTTAAATAACCACTTTAGAAACAGTGGGATGGAGCACATGGACCCATTAAACAAAAGGTTATTAACACCTCCAATTTTTTCTTTGGGGAATGTTGGAAAGTGTTGGTTTGGGGAAGAAATAAAAACCTTACACATCATGAATGCCTTAAAATCCGTTCCAAAAAGATCTGAAGAGCATCGAAATCAACGGATGATTTTTTGAACATTTGCGATGTTTCCGCTATTTTACAGGCACATTTTACACATTTTATAAATTACAGGTATCCTAATACAGGGTGTTCCAGTTATAACTTTTGTATCTGAGCCCGTCTACTTATTCTGAAAACGGCAAATTATAAAACAAATTTTTGGATTTTCCTCTCGATCTCCTGTTCAAGTTTCGATTTTACCATGTTAAGTTCGACTTAAAAAGAGCAGATGATGGAAATGGGACACCCTGTATATGAAGACAATTCAGCATTAATGTTTACCAACTGCTCACTTTTCATGTTTCTTTTCCAACCTTGAGTTTTTTTTAAAAAACGTTCGCAACCAATGGATTTTACTCAATTTTTGGTGTGATGAAAGCAGCAGATTTTTAAAAACTTTCGTTATCGGTTCCCTACTCGGGCAGTCAAAAACAGTGCATTTAGGAACCAACTTTCATTATGATTAAGAGCTTAGATGGAATGGTTTAGTCAATATACAGCCGGTTAGTTCATGTCGCTTGATTAGCATTTTCAACTTCTGGAGCGAGGACATGATCGCTTTCGTCCTATAGGCGCCGCTCCAATCACCGGCAATACATTTGGCTTTTGTTTGTTATAGGTGGTGCCACCGTAATTGATTATACAGGGGGCGATAACCAGCACCACCACAGCGACCTAACATCTGATGGCGTCGATAATCCTCAACATCAAGTATCCACGGAGTATATCAATGGGAACGACCTAATTAAAAAAGACGACAAAATTAACACGGCAGTATAAACAGCCAGTTCTGCTAGTAATGATTCGCTGTGGTGATCGATTTCATTCATTTGGGTTGTGATGATGGCGAGGCGTGGTGTTCGTCGATAGGGAGGCTTGTAAATTAGTGTTTAGCTGATAAGGAATCAGTTGTCAATGTAACAAATATTTCTAGACTAAGATACTATCCATAATTCCTGCTAATCTGTCGATGTGATTTTTCAATGGCAATTCGATTCGCTAAAATGGAACAATTCAACTATGCATAATATGAGACTGAATTATAAAGTTCTCAAAGCATTTTCGCAATGAAAGGGTGAAGTCGAATAGCTCTGGATATTTCATTTGTTGCGCTAAAATAATACCGGTTAAAATGTAGCTGTTTTAGTCCGTCCACTTAGCAAACGCTACTGGCTGAAATAACATTCGACAAACTGCAAGCAAATTCATTTAAATCGCTCTTTCATTCCATTGGGCCAGTTCCTGTTAAATGACTCATATAAGGGAACCGATCTGACATAATTTTCTCAAAGAGGCGATGAAAACATTCACAAGGAATAATTTGGTTGCCCCCTGCATGACAGAAATGTTTCTTCATAGAGAACTAATGCTATGCGAATTTGATTCAGAACGGCGCTCTACTGGAACGTGATCCATTTAATCCAACTTATTCCAGTTGGAGGAGCGGGTTTATTAATCTCGGTCCATTTTCCCTGTCTGCACAATGAAAACTCCCAAATTAGCCAAACCTTTACACTTCATTTGCGGAAACCTGCTAGAAAATCAAATGGATCACATTCCCGTGCTGCTACTTACACTCCCATATTATCAGCATCTTCAGTTTATTGCAAAAACTACCGAATTCTCCTATGAGATGAGTGTCCATTGCGTGACCAAAGTATGGTTTCTACCCACTGTCATCAAACTAGCATATTTACCATCAAAGAATTTAGTAAATTAAATCATTATGAACAATTATACCAACTTGAACATCTCCCCATCGAGTTGGTGTCGTTGCAATTCGAGAAAAGAAATGACTGCTACGCGACTAGATTTAAACCTTAGTGATTTTTCAATTATTAAATATTAATATGTTGTCTATTAGATATATTTAATGTAAATACAACAATTATATATTTAAAAGTTATTTTCATCAAAACCTAAAAAAAATCAACGGCACGGTTTGTTAAAATAAAATATTTAAGCGTCTTACTCATAAATGTCTGTGTGTCCATTATATTTAAAACTTTTCTCGAATTATACAGGGTGTATTGCACTAGTGACCTAGATTAGATAAATCTGGCAATTCATTTTTTTCCGTTCGATTCAACTGCTGAATTGTACAATATTCACTCGCTTGCACCCTGACTACTCAAACCACCAGAACTCTATTGTATAGTTAAACATTTATTTTGTAAAATAAGTCAAAAACCGATGTTCTTCATAACGAATAGGCATTGAATTCTCAATTGTGTACTTCAGTTTTCGTAGTTAGAGACAGAACGAAAACATTCCCCGAGTTGTTTTGGCTTTCTGAAAATTCCGCAGGCAAAAAGTTTATCGAGCAATGTATTGTTACTTCGGCTAATACATGGACCAACAATTACGTTAAATTTTAAGAACGTTTTTGATTTTTTCGTTTGCAAACTGCACCATAAATTTAGTGAAAATTGCTGCCATAACAACTAAAAGAAATCATTAAAACTTCTGCGAACTTACCGAACTGTTGTACCAAATTAGTAATGAATTTACCGAAAAGTTGATATTTGACAAACATTCTACAGTAGTCTACGTTTAGTTAATGTAAAGTATAAGACAATAATTATTTTTTCTCTACTCTACTCTAAGATATTACTATGTGTTAGTCTGTATACATACATAGTCATAGTAGTTCAAAAAAAGTCGTATTTAATTTCCCCTTATCTACGTTCTAGTTGTATTATTTATATAAATTCTAAGTTTTTATACTGCCAACTTCTTGACTTGCATCTCTAGTAGTTTTTAAGATAGTATTTCCTAAGCGAATTTCTTTATTTCGTATATTGAAGTGTGTTTTAACTGCTCCCAATTACGTCTTAAAGATTTGTGGACTGAAATGTAGCTAATTTAAAACAACTCGTATATTTTAATTATTTCTAAAGCGTTTCTCTATGTTTATCAGCACATACTGTATACTTTTGTAAACCTTATGTACTTATGATACAATATAATTAGAATTAGTTAAATATATTTTTATTTGTTTTATAAATAAAGACAAACTATTGAAATCGAGTGCTGGTTTCATTCAAAGTCGCCCGACAGAAAACATTTGCTTTACTGTGTTCCAAAGCTCTGGATTTCAAAGAAAAACTCAATAATTTTTCGACTGTTTCAGGATCGGCCGATACTCGCTACATTAACGAATCGTAAGTACTTTATTTGCCGAACCCGAACTAATTTGTTCATTATTACTAATCACCGTTTTGTTTCCATAAAGTAGCGACACTGAAAGTGCAGATGTGCGCCCAAAGGAAACCAAGCGCCGACCGCTTCAAATCCAACTAACATCCGCTTTCTTCAAGAAGAAACACGACAAGGTCTCATCGGAAGAAGAACCGAACGTTCGCCACATGGAGCCGGATGAAACCGACACCAATACAACTGAGCAACAGGCAAAAAATGAGGAAAACAAGCCGAAACCTGCAGAGGCAACAGAGGAAAAGGACAAAGGACTGGTGTATGCTGAACTGGACTTGGTGAGGTCGAATAGTCCTGTTATGGTTCCAGTGGTGAAGAATGCTGATGAGAAAACTGAGTATGCGGAAATTGTGTACACCCCAGCGAAAAACGAGGACGAAAGTAATGAAAAAGCGGTCTAATTACGCCTTTTAATGGGTTTTAACTCGCGCCTACTTTTTCTCAAATATTTTCTTCAGCCATATGTACTTTAGGCTAATGCGCACCACAAAGTATGTTCAAAGCACTGTTGAGTTGATAGGTTTAATTGTAGCATAATCAGATTCGCATTCATTACCAGAATTTTGTGAAAGCGTCCATTTAGGCATAGATTAAATGCACTCACTTACATTTAGTGTAATAGCCGAATGTGCCTACAGAAGCTAACGAAAAGCTTTAACTGATTCACGGGAAATGAATGGCATTTTTTAGAAAGATCTGATATTTTATATAAGTAGCAGTTACAATCCGTCCAATTTGGCTTGTTATATGGAGCAAAGCGTGTGCTAGTTAAATAAATTGAAAACATATTTTGTATTTTATAGATTCTTGTAGGTTTAAACTGGTTTAAACCTCGTATTTTTCATTTGTCCATTAATTTATACGTTATTTGAACTAAGGACGTATTGTTTTCGTATCTAAGCTCCGGTTTCGTTGTTTTCAAGGATCTTACTAAGGGAAAAAGTACAAAATAAGAAAGTTTACGTTCTTAAAGTGTATAAACCGGTGATTAGTCTGTTGCGTAGTAGAAATCAACAGGGACTGGAAACGTTATGTTTAGTCGTAATTATCTTTAACGTTACGAATGTATGATGATGGAAATAAACATTTTTTATCGAATAAATTGGCTTGATTATGCCCATATTTGCCGCAAATCTCATCAACCCAGTCCAAGTGGAGAATGCTTGAACCTTGTGCATTTGCCGGAAAAACTATCTTTTGAAACATTAGTAAAATCGAAAGGAACTTACATAAACATTGCCCCCAAAGAGTTGACAGCGAAATATCCAATCGAAACATTTATTAGGGTTTTACACACAAATTTAGACACTTGCATATAATCGTGGTATCTTCAACCAATGGGCTTCACGTCGGTGATACGCACCTCAAACATGTAGAAATCGCCTCCTCTCAGAGTCAAAGTTAAAACATGTAATAACCTGCAAGGACAGCACGCCTTAATTCCGCAACTTTATAAGGCAGATAAGCTAAACAAACCTGTTTAAACTAGTCATGCGCAAAATGTAAGCCTTTTCGTGCCCGTCTAAGAACATGGGACTGCCATGCGCATCGGTCTCAAACATGTAGTATTCGTTTCTCTGCGATTTACCAAATGCCAGATACTTTTTGGTGCCAGATTTAGTGCAACAGATCAAGCCTCCACGTCGATCGGAATGATCGAAGAAAAACCTGAATCACATATTCAAAAATATATATTTTCCGTTTCCCAGATAATCGTTTTATTGCAGCTTTCTTTGGGAAATGGGGCTTTATTTGAAAACTGCAAGCTTCAACAGGCGAAAAGTAGTCAAATTCGCCCAAGAAGCACCAAGTAAAGGGATCATCCACACGATAAGCATATTTTCAACTTCAAGTGCGAGAGAAAACTCGCTTTAAACTCATTAAAACAACGCAGTAATCTCTGCTTACCTGAGCGCTTTGTACAAATTAAACTGAGTATTTCGCACCAAAAACATTGTTCCCTCAACAACGGGTGTGCAGCTGACTTTGAAATTGAATGGAAAAATGCTCGATTCCTCCTATAAAATCAAAGCATCAAGCAAACATCCGAGTTCAAGCACAAAACCAACCTTCAAATCATCAACCGATAATTCGTAATCATCGTCCTTAATGTCCCGAACGCATTCCGCAAAGTATTGGTCACCATTGACCAAGACCGAGTCAATAACTGCCGCATTCCACTCAGCTAGATCGTAAATTTCCAGCATTCCTATGCAAGTAACCAGATTGCATAAGGTCTGTTTGCCACGAGTTTCATCAGAGAACCTGAAAAAAAATCAGATCCTTTATCGCTCGTACCACTTCTGTACAAAACATCGTTACTAACCTATCGGAATCTTGATGGATATTCGCCAACATTGAAAACAAATCCTTCTCATACTCAATATTCCAGTTATGCCAGAAATTATCCAACGATTCCCTGTTATTTCCTTCGGGATTTTTCGCCACTGTTCTAGACCACGGTATCGGATCCACTTTGAGCCAGGCCGCGTCCTCATAGAACGGCTTACCTTCCGGTGGAAAATCAAATTTAGCCCCATTCGAGACTTGTTTAAATATACGCACCAAATTGTTCAGGTCTTTTCGCTTTCTCCACCTCGTACTGATTCAATCGGAAATTGATCAGCATATCTTTCGGGGCTTTGCGAATCGAGGTCACCTCAAAGGTGTAGAAATCGTAGCCTTCGGCCCCTTTTTTTACGGCGTGTTTCAACTGCCGTTTTGCATCCTGAAACGAGTCTCCTGGAGGCTGGGAAGTGCCACTACAAGGAACTACCTACATTTAAATTTCTACACCTCAACCAACCAGCAACTGTTGACGCTTCATCCGAAGTCCCGGACTTCTGCTTGCCCTTGGGCAAGCCGCAAGGGTAGAAGATATGGAAACTATCATTTGCAGGAGATTTATGGACAACATAAGAACTAGCCGGGAATTGAATTAGGAAGTACGACATTTTCTTTCTCAGCAGTGTATCAATTCCTGGAATTAACGTTTAAAGAGACCAAAAACACGGGATTTTTCCACATTTACCTGCGCTTAAATTCCTGTTATCCCTCCAATTCTCGATTCTAATCTTCTTCACTATAATATCGAAGAAGTTCTTCTTGATGAGAATATTTTTTATTGTGCGCTTTTCGGACATCTCCAGATCATCGGCGTGAGCAAATATGTGGTTCCCATGGTCAAGAACCTAAAAAAACACTATTTCTTCCATCCAAGGCATCCTTCACGCTTTACCTCATCCACACTTTTTGTATCCCATTTTCCCACTGAGCAGGACAGCAGCATGAGGCCGGCACAAAGACAAGCAAAGTGGTCTTCTTGCAGCTCGATCGGACTTCGTCTGATTCCTTCTTCATTTTCTTCTTCAGTATCAGCAGACTTTAGGGCTCTAGTGCCCTCTATAACGTAGAGGCCATTTCTAAACTGGTAACTAAGAAAGGCGCCACTTGAAGAACTGATCGGGAAATGACTTTCTGGGCTTTGTAGGCCATACCCCACTTTATTTTCCGGTTCCTTTTTAGCTTGTTCTTCATCTGATTCGTAGGCAGTGTTTTCCTTGTCTGACGCATCCATTCCATCCTCGCCCTGTTGAGCTGCCATTTCTTCTTCTTCAGCTTCCTTGTCCACGGGCTTTCTTTTGCTCTTTTGGCTCGCCAGCTTTTCCTCTGCAATGATGATGTAAGTCAAGAAATTTCAACCGGTTTGGAAGCCCCTGTAGGCAAACCTGATGGATGCAACCTCTTGGTTCGTACAGCGCTCAGCACAAATCGGGTGTACACAACTTCTTCATTGGAGTCCCGTTTCTTCTTGTTGTACATTATTCTGGTTACTAGCGAATGCACGTCCTGGAAATCGAAATATTCCAGTAAATATTAACGCGTATCAAACGATAACTTGCTTTGAATCGGGAAAAGCAGGCGGAGCCCAGATCAGACAAGCCTTCGCTCAGGCCGACTTCATTATTTCCAAACCCATCGTACATATAAAAGAGGAAATTCTTGTACATGAGAGCGCAAGCATAGGTGGGCGTCACCAAAACCCCCATATCAGAGCGGATAAAGAGAATCTTCTCTATTGCCAGTTCCAGGATGTTTGGTCGGGTGTATGAATCAAACACGTATTCCACTAGGCAGGCGAATTTGGCTTGTCCTAGTGATATTTGCGGAATCTCCAGCTTTGATACCTACACAGTGGATTTAAGCTGAGGATCTTTTTACAGATTTATGCGCCTACCTGGTCATATCGAAACTTAGAAGCATTATACAGCTCGACGCCGCATTTAAGGACATAGTCAACGATTTCAGCACTCCATGAAAGAATTGAGTACTTTTTAGCCACCACGTCGGCCATAACACACACAAAAGGTGCTATAAACTCTACCTCGTCTCCAAAGGATGCAACATTCTTAGTTCCCCTGATAATCTAAACAAAATTTATTAAGTTATTCGCGTAAATGTATGTGATTTCACTGCAACCGAAAGAGCCACAAAGTTTTGTACCTGCGTATCGTCGGGCAAATCTACAAAATTCGTCTCTTTCCTAAGTTCCTCGGACTTAGTACCATCTGGCACAGCCGGAAGGTAGGTATCGTCCCATTCGAATGGTTTCCTAAATCGATTCAACCGCGATTTCATTTGCTGCTTCCCTCTCACATAAGTCGGATAGAGAATTTCCCGTTTAATGGGAAAATATGTGAGCTCGGTGTTGATCTATCCAGGGCAAGGATCCAAATTGGACTTTTTTGGCGTCGAATCACTCACACACGTACCTCTTCAGAGACCGCCATTGGCACCAAAGACTCTGTCCTAACTTGCGCGTATTCATTAGCGCTATAGTAGAAATCTTCACCTTCTCCTGCCTGCTCTTCCATTTCCCTAGCAATGGCCGCTTCGATGTCTTCTTCCCCCATTTCTTCACCCATGCCTTCCAGTTACCCAATGCAAATTAACTCACCCCACATCAACTCACTGCTTAGTCTTACCATCTTCATCTTGCCCATATCCTTCAGCGTAAACCTCTTCCAGCTCAATTTCTTCCTGGGTGAGTTCAAAAGTGTCGAGGTCCATCAAGGAAATCTCCTGAGATTCTTTGGGTTGACTGGGCCGTTGGGGCGCAATCTGTTGAAGCAATTCAGGATCAGTTGGAGGCAAACACCCAAACAAAGCGAATTTACCTGGGTGTCTGATAAGCTGGGCGAGTCCAAATCAGCGACAATATCAGTGTTGAGGGGCTTTTGCAGCAAAGCTCCAGCTTTAGGTGGAAGCCGATCTGCATGGAGCAGAGGAGGAATCTGGTCTAGGCCTAAACTTTCAACGTGGGATCCTTGAAAAAATAAAATATTATCAATGTATTTTCGGATAAGAGAGTGGCACTGGATTGAAAGTTCGCACTTCAGGATTATTTCACTCTTGATAGCAATTCAGATTAATCTAGTAGTTATGGCTTCCACGTACCGACTTCCATTATGGAGGGTTCGGGAGTTTCGCCCATCAGCAAACTCCTCATGGCTAAAGCAGAATAGTCAACCGTAATGGGTTTTTCTGTGGCTGCCTTTTTGCTTTTTCGCATTTTGGACGTTTTAAATTCTTCCGGGGGAAATTCGTCCAAGGGAATGTGTTTCGGAAACCGCTGCGACTGCACCTGTTAAGCGAAAGATTGCTTAGACCTTTTGAATTAAAAAAATCATCACTCACAGGATCTCGATTGATTTTGCACACTTTCAGGGAATGAATATTGAAGATTGCGTCCTTATCATCAAAGTTATGCGTGACTGTATCAACTAAAGAATGGATGTTGGCATGCATGGACACACAGGCGTAGCCATCTCTACATCTATAGCCTGTAGGGCAGAAAAAATGTTACATTTTCAACTAAATTGTTCGTTTAATCGCACCCTCTGTTCCTCGGGAATAGGGATCAAAGCAAAAGAACATGTTCCGCTGCTTCCAAATGGCCAAATAAACGCTCCCAATTTGCATGATGGCGTTCGTGTTGGTTTCAAAGAACTTCTCCAAGGAACATTCCAGCTGGCAGTTGCATTTCTCGTACATCATGTCCACCATTCTGTTGGCGTAAATGTAAATTTCCACTGCAACCAGACAGACAATTGTGGACCAGTTGCGCGGAATTTCAGCGAAAAATTACCGATGTATGGTCCAATCGTGAAGAAGGCTGGAATAGTGCCGAGTGTTAGTTCACTTATGGCTTCACATTGCATACATTCAAGGTACAGTTGGTTTCCAATAATCATGATCTTATCCAAGGTGGTTTTGTGCCAGGCACTAGGAGGAGTAATTCTGGAATATACCTACAGAACCAAAATTTCTTCTAAATTCCACAACCGAAAATAACATTTCACATAGTTGAAACTTCTTACCAGGCAAACTACCGACATTGGCAAGCTCTGCTTGCTCCTGCTAAAGCCGAAACATTTATCCCCCAAATCATACGAGGCCAACAGAACAGCTTTATTCTCATTCAGGATATTGTAGTTGCTTCTAGCGTCCAGTCCCAAGCCCTTATCTGCGTCGTCTTCTTCATCTTTATCCATCACCTATTAAATAGACCCGCAACAATCCATCAAAGCTCTAAAGCCATTACTAATCTACTTTATAGATCTTGATGGGGTAGATCACAAACGGCCAATTTTGCATTCCAGATCGCTTCAACAGCACCGTAACTATTGCGGGAACGTCGTAAAAGTTAGCCATTATTGCAGTCCCATTGGGCGAATAGTACAGGTCCTTGGTCCGGGGCTTTCCATCGAAAAAATAAAAATATTTGTCCTTCCAAATGGCCAAATTGGTATCCTGAGTTTGAAAAATGCCGGCCTTCTGCCGGGAAAAAAATATGCTCAACGCCTTAGTCAGGTTGAACACTGTTCTATCAGTCGACTTTATCAAGCCTGACACCTCGGGGTCTTCAACTACAAATCGCAGTTTTTTGTGTCCTGCAAACGTTGAGATTTCCATTAAAATCCAGATGGGTGCAAGGCTATTTACGGATGAAACAGTGCTTGTCCAGATCTTCAGGCTTCAGATCCTTTCCAAAAGTATGCACATGAAGGCTCTGCAAGCTGCTCAAATACAGCTGACTTCCTACATCCAGAATTTCGTCAATATGCTCCTCAGTCCACTTGTTCGGATGCTTCAGGAAAGAGAAACAATAGGCTGCTACTGGTATGCAGATTCCTTGCATGTTGGGCGACCCTTCGGGTAAATGTTCATCTCCTATTGGGATCGATGTTCTACATGAGAAAATAGTCTGAACTGATGCTGATGGTACCTTGATGCATGGTGCCTTGTCTGGATCCGAAATAAAACTCCTTCAAAGTGGGCTGGTAGATGTTGGTGAAAGAGTGACTTTCCAAAGTTCCTCTACGAAAGCGTCTCCGCTTGGGTTCATATCTTCGAATTTCCGAGTCTCTTCGGAATTTTTGCGCAATTTTATCCAAAGCTGGATGGGCTAAGGATACTTCGCTCTCTGCTTCGTAGTCTCTGGACTGGTAGGATGTACAATCGGACATCTGGAAGGAAATTATTGCGGAAAACAATAGCAGCAAGGTTGCCCGATTGTACCAGAGAAACTTTGCGTCTAAACTGTTTGGTTAAATAGTCCTTAGGCAACATGTCCCCTTCTCCATATTCACCGAGCATCATTTCTTCTTCCATTTCTTGCTCCATCTTCGACATGAACGCTTCTTCGGGGCTCATATCTGAAACATTCCGGTGGCTTCATGATAAGTCTGGGTAACACAGTGGATTTTCAAGTGTTCACGCAGCGACACCGATACGGCTTGCTGTAGTGATACAGCGACACAGACACACTTTCAACATGTTGGAAATTATTTGTAATAATTTTGCAAATTTTGATTTTTGGTCGAAATTTTTCAAAAGGAAGGGAACCATTTTTTGAAAAAATAAAAATTTTCTCAAAATGTCCTAAATTTTTTATCAGTTTCTGCTCACGGACGCAAGGAATACATCGAACTCATTGAAATACATGCTAGAAGTTTCAGATCCGAATTAATAGACATTTTCGGCACATTTTAAGCGTTTTTTAAGCGTGCACGATTTTTACCGACGACCTCTTCCTTATTATTGACCCAAATGCTTTATAAATTCATATTTATGACCTTCTCACATCGAAAGGAATCGATTGAGCTCACAAAACACGCATTTGAAATTTTGATTTTTAGTCGACATTTTTCCAAGGGTGAGGTCAATTTTTTGGAAAAATAAACATTTTCTCAAAATGTCTTAAATTTTACATCATTTTCTGCTCACGGACGCAAAGTCGTTGAAATAATTGAAATCGAACTCATTGAAAAACATGCTAGAAATGTCAGATCCAAAGTAATAGACATTTTCGGCACATTTTAAGCATTTTTTGAGCGTTCACAATCTTTAACCGACGGTTTCTTCCTTATTACGGACCCAAACGCTTTTTAAATTCATATTTGTGACCTTCTCACATCGAAAGGAATCGATTGAGCTCACAAAACACGCATTTGAAATTTTGATTTTTAGTCGACATTTTTCCAAGGGTGAGGTCAATTTTTTGGAAAAATAAACATTTTCTCAAAATGTCTTAAATTTTACATCATTTTCTGCTCACGGACGCAAAGTCGTTGAAATAATTGAAATCGAACTCATTGAAAAACATGCTAGAAATGTCAGATCCAAAGTAATAGACATTTTCGGCACATTTTAAGCATTTTTTGAGCGTTCACAATCTTTAACCGACGGTTTCTTCCTTATTACGGACCCAAACGCTTTTTAAATTCATATTTGTGACCTTCTTACATCGAAAGGAATCGATTGAGCTCAAAAAACACGCAAGTAAAATTTAGATTTTTAGCCGAAATTTTTCCAACGGCAAGGGTCGATTTTTCTCAAAAATAAAAATTTTCTGAAAACTCGAATTTTACATCATTTTCTGCTCACGGACGCGAGGAGTGCTTCGAACTCATTAAAAAACATGCTAGAAGTTTCAGATCCGGAATAATTATTTTTGTTTTTTGTTCGGAAAACCGTCCTTTCGACCTTAACCGATTGCAATTTTCCGAGATGTAGTTTTTATAGAAAATCGTGCGTTTTTCCGCAAATATCAAATTTTTCGAATCGGCCCGATTTTGACAGTTACGCAGGAAATTTCCACATGCAAATAGCTGTTTTTCCAAAAGAAAATCGACCTTAAATCCACAAAGAAAACATCGATAACATTTGGTTTAAAAAATCGTCTTTGCGACCTTCAAACTCGTATGACGTTCAAGATTCTCAACTGATTTCAAGTTTGCAGAATACGAATTTTAGACCAAACCACTGGTTTTAGAACAAGTTTTCAATGATCCAAATCAGGCCCGTATTAAGAGATTTACTAATTTATTTATACTGAAGGATCTGATGAGCCATATAATTATAATAACCGCAAAATATTCATAATATATTCATAATTCAATTATCCATTAAATTAGAGAAAAATATCGTTAGTCGACATAAACTCAGCACAAATGCCCTTTCCAGACTAGGGAACAATTCCGAAAAGAAACAGCACTTTGAGCTTTTGTCTTGATTGATTGGAGGCTCTAAAAATGAAGCCAACAACGTGAGTGATGCCCGCAGGACAAATTCATATTGAGCACCAGTACCAGCACCAGAAAGTAGTAATCAAAAGGTAGGCAATTGCCTTTTTGCATTATTAAAATATCAAAATCCCCGATGTTGTACAGGTACCTGCGACCAATATCCCATGCGAGCCATTGGACCGAGATAAATAAGAATTCATCAGTTTTTTCATTCATAAAAATACTTATCTACTGATTAGTAGACAAGTATTTTGAGCACTTTCGTTCGTGCGGCTTTAGAACACAACGTCATAAACCATATGGTAAGTGTTGTTCAAAGTGCCGCGTCGTCAGGTGTCGCGGCACATGGACACTCAGAGCGGCATTAACACCCAAGTGTCTTAAGACGCAGTATTACCCAAGCCTACTTCATGACTTAAGCAAGCTTATTTTTACCTTTTTCTTTGCTGGCTTTCTTAGTTCCTTTCTTTTTTCTCTTTTTCTTTTCCTTATCAGGCCTGCTTTCGTCTTCTTCAGTTACTTTGCGTAGTGCTCGAGACCGCTTCTGTTTGCTCGTTTTTCTTTTTTTATTATTAAAGAAATATTAGAACCGCGATTTGTACCAATAGCAAATACTTACACAACTGGTCTCGGTTTTCTCGTAAAAACCAAGTCGAAACTATCGTAGTCACTCGATACGTGTTTAGAGCGAGTTTCGTTAATAAAAATGCCGCTTTTCGGCTTCTTGAGTGCGAGTTCTTTGCTCGTTTGTGGGTCCGGGTAAAGCCAGCTTGCAGTTGGACTTACTTTCCTTGGAGCCACTTTGGCGTTGGATGGTTCAGGAGAACCAATTTCAAACTGAATTTTTCGGATTAGTTAAGCTGAATTGCGAAAATTTGAGAAAACCGTACGGTTTGGCTGAGTTTCTTTGAGGGAATCGGATCGGCCATTTTAACAACGCGATACTTGCAAAATTTCTTGTAAGTATTGGCGCGGTTGTTCTCAATAAACTGTCGTTGCTTTCTGGTTTTAGGGACAATGAATTTGGGCCTTGGTTGACCCTCTTCGTATGCAGATTGTGGAACGTACTGAAGATCGATTCTAGTCCTGAAAGACCCCAGAGCAACTGGAAAAATTGCGAGTAGTAAACTACTTCGCTTTACCCCATTGAAGGCGTAATTTTCGTGCTGATAACACTCCCAGTCTCCGGAATAACCTCCAGAGGCCTTTTGAAGAGCAATCGATCCTTCTTTTTTCGATATTTTACCGGATCGGGGAATTTCAACGGAGGTTGGAAAATGGGATAGTCGTCATCATCAGAATCGCTTTGGTCTGCCAGTGGAGGAGATGGAGGTTGGAGATTGTCGCTAAAAAATTAATTTTTGTGCCTTCTTCTTGTTCATTCATAAGTTACACAAAACTCTGATTTACCTTTGCCTGTCCATAGTTAGGTAGGTTTTAAAGCTAGATAGTCACACTGCGAAATTTGTATTCCGGAAAATAAATGTCAGAATGCTACCAGTTACTTCAAAGTGTTAATTGTTACTTTTGCTCTCGGTGTCAGCTTGCAGTTTAAAATTTCTAGTAGAATTGCAAAAGAAAATTTAAAAAATGGGGTAAGATTTTAGCTAATTTGAGATTTTTGTACAGTTTTGAATGCGCAAAGATGTAAATGCTTTTAGGTGATGCATAATATAAGAAGAGATAAACACAGCACAATTTTTTGTAAAAGCCGCAGTGTGGTGTGTTTGTTTCTGTGAAAAAATTCGATTGTAAACCTGAAATTTCTAATGCGGAATCGAGTTTTCCCACCCTACACAGTGTCGACTTTATATTTAATATTTTTGCATCTCAACAACTTTCAACTTTTAGTTACGAACTTCGGTACTTTGAAATGAAAATTCCGATAGCATGGTTTTAAAAAAATTGAAATTAATATTTTTTTTCTATAAGACACTTAAAAGTGCATAATTATGTCTCACCCTTTAAAGGCGACTGTGAATAATTTTTGCAAAAGAAGCGAGCAAAAAGAATCCATAAAACAATATGTGATTAAGTCGTTGTCTTAATAAAACAATTTCGCGAAGTTAGTTTTTGTGGCTGTTCTGGAAGTTTGCGCCCAAAACATGCGAGCAAACGTGACAAAAATGTAGTTTCTGGCGAAACCGTCGATTTAACGAAATTTTTACAAACGATGAAAGAGCTTGATATTGAGTTGCTTAATCCATAAATTGCACTTTGAATTCCAAAAAATAAATATTTTTATGAACACGTTTTCATCATTTGACCCATTCTGTATACAGCCCCAACCACACGTCCAGAAATCCCTCAACTTGACTGAAAATTTTATTTAAGTGTGAAAAGATTTCGCAAAAACAAACCGAAACCGCGCCCCAAACCCGTGATCAACTACCCTCCTGTGCCGACTAAGAAATGGATTCCTCCCGACCAAAGAAAAAAACAGCTTAAGCCCGAACCCAAGTATGTAAAGCCTGAAGGAATATCCCAAAAGCTCGCCATTTCCACCCTGGGGAAAGTTTGGAACAAGTTCAGCATCCATGGAGAGGCTGGAATTATTACGGGACATTTCAGTCAGTTCCACAAGAGATTCAGCTTTAAGTCCAATGGCTTCCAAGGTTTTTGCTTTTGCCCAATTAAAATACTCTGAACCGAAAGATTTTCATTGAAGGAGCGTGCAATTCGGGTCTGGCGTGTGCGTTTTCGCAAATTTACAAAATGGCTCTTTGGAGTGAGAGGCTGCTGGACGAAATTTTACTCAGAGGCGACGAACTGTATGTACGAAGTACCCAGCAGGGAGACAAATGCCTCATTGAGGTTCCTCCTGAAAAAATGCACACTTCTTTCTTCCTGGGCCAACGGAAAATCACTCTATTTGTCAGCCCAAACGGGAAACTTACTGAAGAACTCACATCGAGCTCGGAAGATAAAGCCAAAGCCATCATTGAAGACACTCTGGGAAAGTTCCTGGAGAAAAATGCATCAGGAATTTTTTACATGAAAGACAAATATGCGGCTGTTTGGGTGAGTGAAGGCGTTTACTATTTTTTCGACCCGGGAGAGCATGACGAGTATGGAAACCCGTGGAAAGGAATACCTGGTAAGCATTAAAAATGTCCAGAACAAACAGTGCAAGTTGATGAGTATTTCAGGAGGAGGATTTTCATTTTTGGGCCGCTTTAAAGCGCTAGCAACCCTGGCTGAGCACATTTTCCTCAATTTTCCATCTGTAAAGGAGGCAGATTCGAAAGTTCATATCATCCCGTGTGGGATAGCCAGGATTGTTCTTATCAACACAACCCCACCGGAAACTTTCGAAGATTTAGCACCGCAAGATGTAGTTTTTAGCCAGATTATTGAAGAACGTAAGTTGAATGGAATATTATATATAAGAGGGCGAGTTATTTCATAGCTAGAGCTAGTTGAAGGAGCTTCTAGGCTAAAGAAAGTGAAAGTGGCCAACAAAAATCTAGAACTTTCATCAATTGCTTACTTATTAGTTCTTTCGCCATGAAAAACATCCCATACACCCGCCCTTAGTGGCAAAGATTATCAACTTTTTTTGTTAAAAAACCTTGCGTTTTCCGTGCAAGATAACCAATCAAAGAATAGCAAAGGTCAAGCTGATAACAAATCGGCATGCTTCAAATTGGAGTCTCCTCACAACAAAATGTTTGGACGAAAGTCTAAACAATTGGACGTTTTGATTGAAGCCAGCAATAATATAATTAGCTTTTGATCCTGATAAATGCACTTTTCGAATAAATAATTGGAATAATATGGATTTTTTGGCTGGAGGGGCTTATCAGGCAATGTTCCCAAATGCCCCCGTCAATCGACAGCAATTTGAAATTAAACACTACTTTGTACACTTTATTGTACATAAAATATCGGGGCAAAAATCGGCGAAAAATAAATCGAAAGTGTTATTTTCAGGCAAAACCCGGTTAATAAGAGCTAACAGACTCTAAACTAGTCCTGGGGATGCCTGAGATTAGCACCTTTCGAGTTCCATAGGAACATACTTACATCAGAAACCTTCACACCAAAAGTTTCATTGTTCTTATCGTTCTCATGATTTCCAAGCTTCTCCTTTGCCTGATCCAAAGCAGCAATTCCTCGAACAATATGTAGAAGAAGGCAAAACTCCTGCTGAACCCCTTCAGAAGGAATTGGAGGAAATGTCCCCTGAAGTAGACGATGATCTTCCCCAGAGTCGACGTCCATCTTTCCTGCCCGAGGGCCATGTGGATAAGCATGATTTATGCCGATTCCCCATTCCGATCCCCAGCTACCTCAAAGGGGAGCATGCTCGCCTCACGTATTACACAGGTTTGCGCCTGCTACTCTGAGCACAGCCAGAGCAATTTGCACGATTCGTAGAACTAATTCCTGATGTGATGGGTATTTTGAGGGCCAGCACGTCCCAAATGGACCCCAACTTCTCCAAATATATGGGCAGAGAAAGCATGGGCAATGCTCTTTCCGCCCTCATAATGCTGCGCTTGCATAAGTCCAAGCATTGGGTCCCACGGCTTGTGGACACTGTTCTCCGATACGGAGAGTTGCTTTACAGGTAACACTTGGAGTCTCATAAACCTGGTAAAATTGGCTTTTTAAATCCAATTCAGAGATGCCATGTTGAGTATTCCCAGAACCCACTCTTTGCGCCTTTCAAACTTCCCAAGCAAAATTGAATATGAAGGCAAAAAGTTTACACCGATTATCGACGAATATGCTGTGGTTGGCCAGATGCACAGCCAGGAGTATGAAATTCTGGATTTGGGGGCGGCTTTGGACGACTTTCTCACTGATTTCGACTGCTGCATTGTTCAAGGGCCGCAAATTATCGCCTTCTGGGTGGAGGATGGCGTCTACTACATGTTTGACCCCAATGATCGCGACCAGGAAGGAAAAGGTGCGAGAAACCCATCAATCCAACATCAATTATTAATGAAGCAAAACCTTTTTCAGCTCAGTCAAATAAGGCCATCTTTGGGTCCAAAGAAGTGAGCTTGCAAACACCTGGAGGTGTGGCTTGTGTGGTTTGGTGTCAAAAGCTCAAAGATCTTGTCAGTTTGTATGTGCATAATACGGAAAAAGCGCTCAGGGATCAACGGTTTTACATAAGCAAAGTAGTCATCAAGGATTACGTGGATATTTCTGACGATTGGTACAATTTCAAAGGCAAGTTTTTCCCAGTTTGGGGAGGTGGCTTCAAGTGATTTGGCGGAAAATTTGGTCAAACCTCGCCGAAAAATAATCGGCAAACATGTAGCCAAATAACGTTCAAGAGAATATTCATGAGCGCTAAAAACCAGTATTTTTGTTTACTGATTTAAAGTGCATATTACGAAAAAAGGCTCGAATGACTTCATCGACTGTTCAATGCGTCTTTTAATGGAAGAAAAAGCTTCCGGAATGGTATTTTAGAACCACATTCTTTACATCAACAACTCGAAGGTTGGCGCCCACGATGATTTTTAGTCACTTGAAAAATGATTCTAGATTTGGATTCCCGTCAATTTTTATTTCCAAAAATGGCATCGCTGAAATTTAAATGGATTTTGTTCTTACTTCTGGGACTCACTTTATTCAAATTCAAATTCTCAAATGAAGACCTAACTTTTACTAAGAAAAAATGTCCGGCTGCTATTGATGGTCCAAAAAAATTATTTTTTGAAAAAGGACAAATGATATAGTGGTTTTGAATAAAACTCGATGTGAATTTGTTCTTATGTAAGTCTCAAGTTTTTATGAAGGAAACGAGTTCGCTTTGGCCAAGTGCGGAACTCTTGTGTCTTGGTACAAGAACCGCCGGAAGTTTTTGTTTGGTAGCTGGAATTAACTGAGTTTTTTACTGTTGATGCACTAATCATTTTTGAACATTTTTCGGCTTCTTGTAAAATCTTGTAGGATTCATGCTTTTTGCTATTTAACAATTTCAGACATTAACTGCAAATGTCGTACTCAGCGATAATGTTCTTATGTAATAAATTAATTGGCACGCATTTACCAATTTTTAACTCACCGACAATATCAGCGTCTAAGGCCCAATGGATTTTTGGGAGCGTTTTCGTCCGAAATTTCACGAAAAGAAGATGCCGGCTTTTTGCAAAATTTAGCCCTGATATAGACCCAATATTTTTTTGTGCAAAAACTATGAATACTACAAGATTTTGCAAAGAGCACAAAAACGTCCTACTTAGAGCTATTAGAGCATCAACTCAAAAAAAATCAAGCGATTCCAGCTGTCAAGTAAAAAGTTCTGATAGTTTTCGTACCAGGCACTTAAGAATTCCTCACTTCTGACCGAGTCTTACATACCGGGTGTCAGTTTGAAAACTTTGTGAAAGCTGCAAGAAAGATATACTATACTACCCGTATAATTTAAAACAATACAAACAATACAAAATCAATCTTACCGTTATCTCGATATTTAAAAAAAGACTACTTTTTTGAAGAAATTTGACCATCAAAAGCAGGGGATCTAGACATTTTTTCATAGTAACAATTAAGTCACAGCGTCCTCTTTCGATCCAAAGAATATCGCAGTACTCCTTTGATCATGTGCTTATGGGACACCCTGTATAATAAATGCAACATTGCACCATCAAGCTAGCACATTTCCTTCTAGGAATTGATGTTGCTGTGTGGATCCTAAGAGGATCTTTCAGCCAAATCAGCCTAAGATTCTCTGCTGAATCCAGAAATAGCCAAGGAACCGCCAATGCCCTAATAAGTCTTGCAATGTCAACCCTCTTTGATGAGCAGGAGTGGTCGAGTGACACTGTTGACGAAGTATGCGATTCATATGCTTCTTCAGTTATCTTCCAACGGTCCTTTTGGTTCAGATTCTGATGACCGGTGATGAATTCTATAGAGATTCAGTAGAAACGCTTCAGGAAAAAGGGGCTTTCATTAGCTCACATCTGATGCTCTTTGAGCTGAAAAAACGTCACAGACTGCGAGACAAAGAGGCAGAATTCGAGCTGGAGGAATGCTTGGTAAACGGACTGATTAATGCGAGGAACAGCAATGATGTTAATGACCTCAGAAAGGTTTAAGGCCCATCATTACCTACTACATCCAGACCCTTTCTACTGACTAATAACAACTTTAGGGCCTGGAAGAGTTCTTCATAGATAACGACTATGGCGTAATAACAATGCGAGATATTTCCCTGCCCATTTGGAAGAAGAAGGAAATCTTCTACTACCTGGACCCATACAGTAGGGATGAAAAGGGAATATCAACAGGCAAAACGGCTGACTGAACTCAAAACTTTTGACTTTAAAACCGAACTTTCAGGCTACGGAACTTCCTGCGTCATTCGCTTCGTCCACTTAGACGACGTGGTAAACGCAATAGTGGCCAATCTGGAACCAAACCTTGAAGACTTTTTCAACATTACCAAAGTGAAGATTAGTCTATATGAGGCTGGTGCCGGGGCTGTGAAGCCCCCCATAAACAACTACACGGCAATCAATGAAACATCGGCAATTCTTAGAGGCTGGCTAAGCGAACAGAGCTCCAAATACGAAATACGACGAGGCAGGCAGACTGTTCCCATGTGTATAGCTGCCGTTGCTTTCAACAAGCTGAAACCTTCCGGTGAATGGACGAAAACTGATGTGGATGTTATTCTTGATAAAGGTGATGAGCAAGTAGAAGTTTTTGTAATTCACTCTAATGATAAACAATATGCAGGAGATGAGCTTTACGTGGAGTCAATGGCAGATGCTCAAAAGGTTCTAGAGGGTGAAAATGCTCAAGCTGGAGCTCCGGAAGAAGGTGCAGGTGTGGACTCGCAGGCAGGTGGCGATGCGCAGCCTGCAGCCCCTACTCCTCAACCCCCAGCTGCTTCAAAGGAAAACGCCGCAGAAGGTATTCCTCTTCATCTAATGCAACTAGTTGAATTACAAATAAGTGGATTTTAGATGAAAGCGCTGTGGAAGAAGAGGAGGAAGAAGAACCAGTAGAAATGGAAATAAAAATATCCTCAGAAAATGTGAAGACTGAACTGGACATCGGTCCAAATAATCTAACAGTGGAATTCGCCGATGTTGCAGAAGGTATTAATTTCGTTAGATCATCCTAAAACTTTTCAGGAATTTGTTTCTTCAGGCAACATCAAAGAAACCCTGAAGGATGCCTTAAAAACGTTCTTCGAAAAGGAGCAAACCGATGATGATTTCAACCAAGAGGCCCTTCTAGAGTCCAAGCATTACACTGTAGCATTGTGGCGTGATGATAAATGCTTTTACGCTTTTGATCCTCGGCCGAGAGACAAAAAAGGCGAAGTTATTGGTAGGCTTAAGTTTTTTGCCAATTTCCGCCCTGATCCAGTGCGTTTGAACGTGAATATTCCAGGTAAAGATGACTGGGATCCCGAACCTCCTGAGCCGGAGCCGATGTCGGAAGAACTGTCGGAAACCGAGGAAGAAGGAGATCGTGAAGGAAGTGAAATTAATGAAGAGTTACCTGAAAGTCCAGCAGAGAACTTCGAAGACGAGTACTTGGCGTAAGTAATTTCCGAAGCTGCAGCCGAAAATAAGCGATGGGTTTTAGATAAAATTATCTTTCCTGTTTTATTGAAAGTGTTTAAAGATAATCAAAAACCTAAACGCTGTTTCTTAGTGATGAACAATTTGATGAGGAAGCTGAAGAAGAAGCTGACTTTGAGGAAGAAATCGAAGAGGAGGAAGTTTCGGAACCAGAAGAACCGCCCAGGCCAAAAATGTCGCCATCGTACTGGTTGGAGCAGGAAAAATCCGGCAGAGCCTGCTCGATTTGGTTTATCAATGTAGATGACCTGGTAAATTTCGTCTACAACAATATTCCAGTCAAGGACCGACTGAAGAGCGATTTTACCCTGAAAAGCGTGAAAATCGTCAATAATTTGAAGGTTTTTAAAACCCGCAGTTATCAGGACTTTAATCAAGCCTATCATTTCAATACAGCTCAAGTCCAAGTACAATCCGGAAGATCAGCGGACGGATGCGTATTGTGGAGATTGGTATGACTTCAAGGAGGTTGAGCATGGAAGATGGATTTTGAGAGGTTGATAAAGGATAATTTTTTGAACGTTTTTCTACTAAACAATTTCAAGGTTCTTTGGACATTACTCATGACCTTTTCCCGGAATACAACAGAGGAAGACAAGGTCTAACCTGCAGCATAATGGCCTTATGTATCGCCGATACTTTTGAAATGACTTGCTTCCTAAGCACTGTTCCTGATACTATTCAAGTTTACGGCGACAAGTTGTATACTTTCATGAGAAAATCCAGAACCAGGCAATTACTCAACGATCCCAACAGCAGCTTGAAGGATGGAGAAGTACCAACCATTTTCCCTGCAGTCTACTGTAAATAGACTCATATTTTTGAAATTTTGAGATTGACTGGCTGCTGCAGCATGAAAACTTTTCGATCACCGACATCCCGAAGAAGATTTGTGTTGCGCAGTTTATGGTGGAGCTTTCCATTGTTCCAGGATTCATTGAAGGCGATATTAAAGCGCAGAATTTTGAGGAAATCCTGGATGTTAAAAGAGGACTGGAGAAGTTTTTCGAGGACAGCACCTATGGTGTAATGTGCGCAAGAGGTACGAAAACAATTGCCGATTTATTGGATTGATTCAACGTCCACTGGACTGGTTTAGATTTATATGTGGCTGTCTGGAAGGGCCAGAAAATGTTCTACATGTTCGACGGAATGAAAAGAGGTCCAAATGGCGTTAAGTCTACCATTGGCACTGGGTGTATTACACGATATATGGACGTGGAAAAATTGGCCGAAGTGTTCCTGGAAAATTTGCCTGCGCTTGGAAAAGGAGAGTTTGTTATTCATCAGGTAGGAAGTTAGTGTTGGTAAATAGGCGCGATTAAAGCTGGGGCCATTCTAGGTCACTCTAGAAAGAAACCTTTGCCCAAGGGAACGGGAGCCCAAAGATGTGATTCCAGTTCCGAAAGCGGTTCCAAAATCGGCCGGCCTCAAGCTGGTTATTCCCGGCAAGAGCATTATTAGGTGAATATCTGTGAGTTTTTCTGTTTGGTTTTGTGTAAACTGTGCCCGTATTTATAGAGGAACCATCACTCAAGAGGATCCAAAGTTTGGCAAAGGCCCAAATACCATGAGCGCACCAATAGCAGTTGTAGCCTTGACGATGTCGCTGATTCATAAACCCGAAAATTGGTCCCGACCTATAATTGATGATATTGTGACTTTGGGTAGGCATTTTCCGCTGATTTTCCTCTTTGCAATATCAAGTCCAAGATTCACCTGCTAGTTGCCTAAAAACGAACATTTGCATTCCTCAGGAGCCGAACTGTATGAAGACAGTGTCAATGATTTGGGCTTCGACTTCAATCCTTGGGAAGACACGCTGGACGTATACCGAGTGAAGCACGACTTCAAGCTGGGAGTCGTTAAAGCCAACTGTGAATTGCGGCAAACTGACCAAAAGGGTTACATCGACTGCAAAGAGTCCGACATGCAAAATCTTCGACAAGGTTCCAGTTGATGGCAACAACTTTAACGTGATTGCAGCAATGAAAACTGACTTTGCAGGAATGTCGCGATTTTTTGAAGAAAACACTCATGGAATTCTGGTAACGCAGCCACTTACAGTGGCCGTTTGGGAGCAAAAGCAAGAGGAAGGAGACCCGTTGATTTACATTTTCGATCCGAACCCGAGAAATGCCACTGGAATGCCCCTGTTTACGGGAACAGCTTGTGCGCTGGCTTTCGTCAATGAGAAAATGGCTTCAGATCACGTTATTGGTTCGTGTTCGCCAACAGAGTAATATTGAACAGCAACAATGGCAAATTTGCAGGCTGCATTTTGGATCCGGAAATGCGAGCAGGAGAATTCGTGATTGTTCCAGTGGAAATCGTTGTGGGAAACGCGAAGACCGTAAGGAAACAACCGCAAAAATCCACAACTAGAAGCAGTATAAATGTGCTGCCCAGATGCTCCAAACTGGTGGCGTCTGAGCAGAAGAAAAAGTTGCGGAAGCTGGTAAGAAGCAACATGAATAGAATGCAATGGGGATAATCTGGAATAAATTGCAGGCTGAAGAGGATCGCAAGAAAAAAGAGGCAAAGAAGAGGGAACTAATTGGCAGGAATGGCTACCACCTGAGAGGAGCTGAAGCCATTCTGCGAGGCTACAAAAGCCAGAACTCCGATTACTACGACAGCCATTCCAGAAACAAGCAGGATATTCCTAACTGCATAGCTTCTGGTGGTTGATTTGGACGCTTTCTCAACTCTCCCTAGCTAATGTGGACCATTTTCAGTGGTAATGCACTCAGTTCTGTCGATTGAGGACTGGAACCATCGGCACATAGACCTTATTCTGGACACAGGCGATCAGCTATACATAGATTCTTACATAGCATATGGTCCGGATGATCCGCAGCTAGGAATGGAGAATATTCTAAGAAAATTTTTCATGGGCTCTTTGGAAGTAAGCTGTTTTAGGACGTAGAGGCTTCCATCAGAGGGTTAATTTCAATTTAATTTCAGGTCCATGTGACAATCTACAAGTCAATAATAACGGAAGCTTTTACAGCCAGCAGGTTGAATTGCGTGTTGGAGGCATTCTTCCAGCAAGAAACTGTGGGAATTATTAACTACAACCGTCAATGGATCAGTGTGTTTTTCAAAAGTGGCTATTATTTCATGTTTGATCCGCATGAAAGAGATATTGAAGGTACTCAGAATGCGTTGCAAATTGAAGAAAAAATACAAGTTTTTTTGAAAGGTAATCCCATCAGCGACTCAGAACATGGATCAGCTGCAGTGGTGCGCTTTGATAGCCTGAATGGAATGACGCTGAAAATAATCAACAATCTTGGAGGAAATGCAGAAGAAAACGAGGAATTTATGTTGTGGATTATGTCAGTGGAACCAAAGTAGCCCACCAAGGATTACTGGGTAAAATCGTTCTTGATTTATGCAATGTTTAGGTAAATAACTGTGTAATAAAAGTTATCTGTGTGAGGAATCAGTTTAAGATGAAAAATGTGTTTCTTCCGAGGCTTTTTGCTTTATAAGTAACAGATAAATGGAGCCAAAAATTCAAAAAAATAATTATTGTCCACGGAGGGTTAAATACTCAAAAAACTCAGAAGTTTCAAGCAGGGAATTCAACAATGGAAATGATCCCTAAAACTAACCAGACATTTTATGAATTGTTAAAAACTTCCCATTCAAGATGGAAAAATTTAAATAACCATAACTTTAAACAGTTGAAAATGCCTGAGGACTAGCCCTAAGGGTCATTTCAATTTTCTTACCAGAAGTTGCGAATTTTTGAGTTGAATGAAAACGTCCAATTCAAGATCGGTTTTCGCAAAGCTGGCAAAAAAACAGGATTCTGGCCATTTTTTATTAAAGTTTCTACGTCTGTAGAGTGAAGTGTTTTCTAAAGTTGGTAAAAGTTTCACGTGTCAAGTTGTTTTAGTTTAGAAGATGCGAATTTTTTAAAGAGTGAGCGCCGTTGATTCAAAACTTTCATTTTGAGATCGGTATTTGCTAAACTGGCAAAAATCCGGATTGTGAGTAATTGTTATCAAAATTTCTGCCTATGTAGATTCTAAGATCTTCTAAAGGTGATAAAAGTTCCATGAAGACACTTGCTTTATGTCGGGAGATGCGCATTTTTAAAACAGTGAGCGCCGTTAATTAAAAACTTTTATTTTGAGATCGGTATTTGCAAAAGCTGGCAAAAATCAGARTTGACAGCAATTATTATGAAAATTGCTRCGTCTGTAGAGTCAAGTGTTTTCTGAAGGTGGTGAAAGTTTCATGTTGCAAGTWCTTTTAGYTTAGAATATGCGAATTTTTTTAAACGAAGATATTACTTTTTAWAGAGTGAGCGCTGTTGATGATAGACTTTCATTTTGAGATCGGTATTTGCTAAGCTGGAAAAAATCAKGRAGTGTSTGTCAATGTTATAAAWWTATCTGCGTTTATAGATTCAAGTGTCGTCTAAAGACARTAAAAGTTCCATGTRGCCACTTGYTTTAGTTCTGAAGATGCGAATTTTTKAAACAGCGAGCGCCGTTGAGTAAAAACGTCCATTTTGAGATAGGTTTCTGCAAAGCTGGAAAAAATCAGTATTGCTGGCGATTGTTATAAAAATGTCCACATGTATAGAGTCAAACGTTTTCTAAAGGTTGTGAAAGTTTCACGTCTCTACCTGTTTTAGTTTCGAAGATACGAATTTTTTAATGAGTGAGCGCTGTTGGTTATAGGCTTTCATATTGAGATCGGTATTTGCTAAGCTGGCAAAAGTCAGAGATCGTGGGTAAATGTTATCGAAATTTCTGCCTGTGTAGATGTATGTGTCAAGTGTCGTCTAAAGGGAATAAATGTTCCATGTAGCCATTTGCATTAGTTCGTAAGATGCGAATTTTTGAGTGAGAAGAGTGAGCGCCGTTGAGTAAAAAACGTCCAATTTGAGATCGGTTTTTGCAAACTTGGAAAAAAATCAGAAATACTCGCAATCTTCATGCAATTTTCTGCCTCTGAAGAATCAATCTTTTTCTACAGGCTGTAAATGATTCAAATATCTTATTGCACTAGTTTGAAAAGTGCGAWTTTTTTAAAGCAAGGGCTCAATTGAGTAAAACTGTCCATTTTGAGATGCGTATTAGCTGACGTGGCAAAAATTAGAATTTTGGAAGTTTTTTATGCAACTTTCTGCATCTGTAGAGTCAGGTGTTTTCTAAACGTAGACCACCTTTCAAGTCGCTACCTGCTTTAGTTTGAAAAATGCAAATTTTTAAAAGCAAATCCGCAGTTTAATGAAAACGTTCATTTTGAGATTAATATTTACTAAGCTGGTCAAAAATCAGGAATRATTCTTCGGATTTTTTAAACCTTTAGCATCTGTAGAGCCAAGTGTGTTCTTAAAACGCTAAAAATTTCATGTTACTACTTGCCTTAGTTGCGAATTTTTAAACCGAGATCGTAAATGAGTAAAGACTAGTTTGAGTTCGATATTGAAGGGGTAAAATTCAACTTTCGGACAATTTTTAGAAAGCTTTCAGCATTTCTAGGGTGAATTTCTATCTTCTTATCTTGCTTGAAACTTGTAAGTTTTTCGGGATTTTAAGTCGTCGTAACAAACAGTTTCTTCTGGACGTTTTCCAAACACGAATGACTTGCACCTTCAGAAATGGCTGAAGCGTCTTGCAAACGAGAAGAAACTCTTTTTCACCTCTGCCCAGCAAAAACCGCTAAAACCCAATCATTTTCATAGAAATAGATCAATCGAATCATGTTGACCTATATTTGGCTTTTGGAGCCAAATGAACAGAACGAAAATATTTCAAAATAGAAACAGTAATAAATCATCCTGAACTTATCAGTTGGGTTTGGATTTTTCAAATTTGCTAATAGAACAAGGTTGGCAATTAGGGTTTTTGCGCAAAACGCAATTCGCATATTCTAGCAAGGGGCTGCTGAGTTTTTGCATACTTTGTTGCCGAAAATCAATCGCAATGATATTTATACAAAAAAAAACACTTCTATACTTGTTCGATTGCAAAACCTTGGAAAATAATTAGCACTTTAATAATAACAACAACAGGCTTAAATATGCTGTTATAGTATGACAATTTTGCACAAAAAGTGCAAAGTGATGTTTGTTTGATTTGCATTTAACACCCTCGGCTCTTTTGTAGTTTTGTAGTTGGACGAAATCAATCTGTTTTACCGCCACGTGAATAACAGTTAGTTTGGGTTAGTAACAAGTAATTTGACCGTCACTGTATTTATCAAATAATTTACTTTATACTAAATGTGTACATGTGGTCAAAGCTTGACCACATGTACACCACACATATAATTACATTTTTGAGCCATTGCAAAACGGCGTATTTATTTTAATTATTTTCCAAAGTTCAGAAAAGTTTTGACCAAGTCATACATACCTAAATGATTAGTAGAAATTAAGTTATTTTGAACGTAAACACAATTACATTCGTATGAAGACGTTTTTTTCTAGTGCGTTTCAAGTAAACAAAACGCAATCATCAATTGACGGTTATCTCGCATCAAATTCAAGAACAAATTCATATGGAAAACATGATCATTCAAAGAAATCATGTTTGCCCTAAATGTACAGATTTCGAGTTCAAAAACGGTTAACAAAATGCTTTTGGCATTGTAAGCTGTGGATTTGTTCCTAATTATGACATATACTTTCATAACGTTAAATCTTGTAAATTTTCGCAAAAAAACAAATGCATTAAGGAATTATAGCCATATTCTATAAAAGACCGTTAGTTGGATCCAGCGATTGAAAGTGAATTGTGAAGCATAAAATCTCCAGATAGCAACAAATCAAATGAGATTAAGTCAGGGGACCTGGAGAGCCATTTGACCGCAATATATTTCCGCTTTCCTCCGATCCACTTGATTAGAAAACCATTATTTAAAAGAAAAAACATTTGATTGCATACTACGACATTCTAAGTAGATGTCTGAAGTTGTTAAATAACAAGGAAACACAAAAACCCAACAGCGCGGAAATCTTAAAAACGTGCTAAAGCAACAACTGCAAAGAAATTGCTTGATTCCAACTACTTCAAATAAAGTTCTGCTATTTTTTGTGCCAAGACACTCGAAAATATACCACTTGCCCAAGTGGTAGATTAGGAGTTACATTGTTTAGAACTGTATGATAAAATCTATCTGCAAGAGTATTAAATTCGAATAAAATATGTCAGAGATGTAACATTTTGCAAAAGATGTTGTTCCCATAGAACATGTTAAACCGTCACGTAGACAAAAGTATAAGTACGGCCATGCTTTCAAGGGTCAGTAGGTTACAGTTAAATAAAATCCTATTAATTCAATGTTATCTACTATCAATGTTAAGAGAAAATTGATAGGAAAACACAGACGTAATTTTGGGAAGAAATAAATCGTGCAGTTAAACGTTGCTTGCCAGTTGAAAAACAAATATGTTATAAACTGGTGAGTTTTTCAGGCTTTAGACCATCGTGGAAAAGAATTTCTTCGAATTTTGCGTCACACTCTAACGCCGCTAAAGATGCCAAGCCATTCGCGTTTGCAAAACATCGGGAAGAAATTATTTTCCACAAATATCGAAAAGCCCGCAAAAATTACCACTTTCGAAGAATTGAAGCGAAAGACTAATTTTTTAATTAATAATGCTTAAATGGATTAGCTTTGATTCTTCCACACTCAATGAAAGGAAATTTATATTCAAGTTTTTAGAGTGTTTCAAGCAATTAGAGTGTTAAATATAGGGCGGATTAGAAAAATGAGGTGCATACATAAACTTTTGACTAGCGTGAGTGGGTTTGCAGATACTTCGGTTAAAATAATGGAGGCCCTGCATACTTTTCGAGGTAAGTGAGATTTGAAAAAACTGTGACATTGTCCAAAATATTTTATTAAGTGAACCGTAAAAATGTATTTTGACAAAATGTCGCTATTAGCGACTGAATGAAAATATCTGTATGTTTAGGTACAGTTTCCAGCTAAAACACGACACGCGCGCAACCTCTCAATAATCACTAATTATTAATCGAAAAATACGGTCAATCCTCTAGGCAGTGACGTCAAAACGCATAATATCAGCCATTAGGTGGTTCTAGAAAGGTCGTCTTTCTAATTAAACAATTACTACCGATTTATCAAATTTAATAATATATTTAATATTATTATTCATCGTCATTATCTTTGTTCTAATTGCAGACTGTGAACTGATGGGTTCAAGTGAAATGTGTTTTCTAAGGAAACCTTCCTAAATAATGTCATTAAATAGATATTTGCTACGTAATATCTCCTCCAGTCAATTACATTTTGTTCAAGCAAATTGATGCTATAATTTTTACCTAGTCATATCACACTTAAATATTAATTTGTCTCACTTAAACTCTCAAAGTTATAACTCTTAGCCAGTTATTTAATACGCAACAAATTAGTTTTTCTAATATATGTAAAAATATGATGATGACCAAATATAGTCGATTATTCAAGTGGATGTCCATTAGCATCCACTACATACATTTGAATTTGCATTTGTACTCAACAACTCTACTCTCTATTCTGTCCACATAATGATAAGTCTTGTTTAAAAATTTGAAAAAAAATACGCTTTAAATTTTGAAACGTCTTAAAGCAAAGTTTATTCATGGACATTAACAAGCAGAGAAGACTGTTAAGCTGAAACCCCATGTATCCGAAATTCCATCTTTTGACAGCGTTTCTATTCGTCAAATGTTTTACAAATTTTTTTTAGGCCAATATTTACTAAGCTTGCAGCAGTCAGAATTATGCTGACAATAATTTCAAATCGCTTGATGCTTTAGTTTGGAGAGTGCGAATTAGTAGAAGAGCGTAGTTGAGTAAAAACTTCAATTTTGAGATCGGTATTTTCTAAGCTTGCAAAAATTAGCCTTAGGGGCAATTGTTATAAAAATTTCCGCATTTGCAGAGTCAAGTGTCTTCTAAAGATGGTAAAAGATTGTAGCGGCTAGTGGCTTTAATTTGAACGGTGTAATTTTTTTAAGAGAGGGCGCTGTTGAGGAGAAGCGTCCATTTTGAAATCGGTATTTGCTAAGCTGGCAAGAATCAGAATTACGCGTAAATTTCATGCAACTTTCTGCGTGAATCAATTTTGTTCTACAGATTGTGAAAGTTCCAAGTAACTTACTGCTTTCGTTCAAAAAATGTGAATTTTCTAAAAACTTCCATATTGAGATCGGTAGTTAATAAGGTGGTAAAAATGAAAATGCTGAGCCTTTGTTATGAAAATTTCAACATGTGTAGCTTCAAGTGTCTTCTAGAGGTAGTAGAAGCTTCAGGTCGCCAGTTGAGTTAGTTTCGAAGATGCAAATTTTCTAAAGAGAGAGCGCCACTGATTAAAAAGTTCCATATTGAGATCGGTATTTGCTAAACTGGCAAAATCATAATATGCCCAATTTTTCTGCAACTTTATGCGTCTGTATAGCCAATTGCGTTCTACAGGCTGTAAATGTCTCAAATTGCTTCTTGTGTTAATCTGAAAAAGAGTCCTTTTTTTAAGAGAGTGTGCAATTAAGTAAAACATCCATTTTGAAATCCGTATTAGCTGACTTGTCAAAAATCACAATTTTTGGATATTTTAATGCACCTTTCTGCATCCGTAGAGTCAGGCATCTTCTTAAAGTGGGAAAAGTTTCAGGATGCTAATTGCTTCAGTTTCAAAGATGCAATTTTTTTAAAGAGAGAGCGCCGTTGGGTGAAAACTTCCATTTTGCGATCGGTATTTGCTGCCCTAGCGATAATTAGCATTATGAGCATTTGTTATGAATAATTCAGAATGTGTAGAATAAAGTGTCTTCTAAAGGCGATGAAAGTTTCAAGTCTCCAGTTACTTTAGTTTCGAAGCTGCAAATTTTCTAAAGTAAGAGCTGTGCTGATTAAAAAGTCCCATCTTGAGATCGGTATTTGCTAAGCTGGCGAAAATCAGGATTATGCCCAATTGCCATGCAATTTTCTGGGTCTGTAGAGCCAAATGTCTGCTACAGGATGTGAGAGTTCCAAGTAATTTACTGCTTTAGTGTCAAAAGTGTAATTTTTTAAAGAACGAACGCCGTTGAGTAAAAACACACATTTTGAGATCGGTACTTGCTAAGCAGGCAAAATCAGTAATATTTGAAATTTGCATGCAACTTTCTGCGTCTGTAGAGCCAATTGCGTTCTACACGTTGTAAATGTTTCAAATTGCTTAGTGAGTTAATTTGGGACGGAACAATTTTTTAAAACAAAGTTTGCAGTTGAGTAAAAACGTCCTTCATCAGATCGATATTTACTGAGCCGGCAAAAATAAGAAATTGGGTCAATTTTCATGTAACTTTCTGCATCTGTAGACACACGTCTTGTCTAAATTCGGCGACAATTTTATGTTGCTACTGGGGTTAGTTCGGAAGATGCGAATTTTTAAATAAGACGGCGCCGTTGTTTAAAATCGTCCATTATAAGACCAATATTTACTAAGCCGACAAAAATCTCGATTTTAGTCGATTTTAAAACCTTTGTCATCTGTAGTGCCAAGTGTTTTCTTCAAACGCTGAAAAATTAATGTTCCTATTTGCTTTAGTTTGGAAAATAGAAATTTTTAGAGGAGAGAGTGCGGTTAAGTAAAACATCCATTATGAGCCGAATATATACTAAGCTAATAGAGGAACCTTCCACCTATAAAAATCTGGGAACTGGTTTATTTTTCTGCCAAACTGCAGAACCACCAAATATCATATTAAGGTGCTGTAATAGTCTTGGTGTCTTTAAAAAATCTTGTGTTATATACATTAAAGAAAACATTAGCATTTGATTTAAAATATTTTTAAATTTTTGTTAAATGTTTGAAAATTGTTTTGCTGGCAACAGCTATTAATAAAGATATTATTATTATTATTATTATTAATCCCACATGAGACAGCAAAATATCTGCAAAAAAAATCATTAAAATTGAGTTATTGGTGTTACAGACTTGGGACTAGCGCTTCAACGAATCGAAAACGACAAACTGCAGAATCACAAAAACGTCGTTTAAACCCCAAATATGTCAGGTGTTTGGAATTTCTCCAAAGAATAGAGGAAAATTCGAGCTATCAATCTGAAAAAAATATATTAAAATCCGAGAACTGGTTAATTTTTTACAGACTTTGAAATTGGCGCTTCAATTAAGCGCAAAATGCCCAACTGCAGAATTTTTTCCTGCTCAAAAATTGGTTGCATACAACGGATTATTGAAGAAAAATCTCTTCTGTCAGGATGCGACAACATTCTATACACTTCCGACCTAAAAGCCTGTAATTTATCATTCCGATTGCGATTTTTAATGTTATATTTATTCGCAATCACCATATGCCAAACGAGCAATACCCTCATTCTTTTATCACTTTGATTACTAGCGCCTAGAAATTTTATTTACATTTAATTGCAAGAAATGGATCTGAAAATAGCAGTTTAATCGCATGAACTCTGCCGCTATCTATTTAACATAAGTATCACATAAAGCAACCTTTTGCCATACATGAGAGGTTTTCATCCGATCGCAACATTTTTAAATTTGGATTAACTACCAATCAATCAATCAAGCCAGTTAAATTTCTCAGGTGTCTTTTTCCAACTGTAACAACGCTTTGTTTTTTGCTCATTATCAATCAATAACGATTCAATAGATTTGTTTTCTGCAAAGATGAATAAAATCCGTTGAAGATTGAGCATTGGCAAACAGTAGAATTTGAAACTAATTAAATAAAATTAAAAAAACAGAAGCCAATTCTATTGTTCTAGCTTATGTGAATCAATAAACAATCAATATCAATGTCAATAGCACAGAGTTTAAAAATAGCGAAACACGTTTTGAATGCTGAGACGGTTTTAGACCTCCCGTAATTTTCGCTAATACAAGTGAATCATATTCGTTATTAAACAATGGATAATCGCGTGTCTTTTCACATTCTCAAAAAGCACTGATACTTAAATCATCATTAAAGTTTATTTAAATTGAAATTAAATCATGCACAAAGTTGAGCGGGAAAAAATCCTAAATCTAAAACACCTTTCACTCCTGTTTCGATCGGCGTTTTAAAATGTTTGAAGCACATTTTCTTGTCAATAAAAAATACACACTTTTGACGGAAAAACTTGCACAATTAGTTTTGGCAAATTGCAAAAGCACACATGTCAGAGTAGATTAATCCAATTGGCGCTGATTTAGTGTACAAAGTTTCTTTTGTAAGGTAATTTGAAGCAAAGTGATACAAATTCCAACAGCTACACTTGACACATATAGGATAATTAAGTGAATCAAGTAATTATAACATTTATCAATTTTTTTTCATAATTTCGTTCGGAAAAAATGCAATATTTCTCAAACATTAGTGTATGCTAATCAGTTTTATGCTACCGCCTAAATAATTACTTAAGGAAACGTTTCGGAAATATACGCTTGAGTCAGGTTCGAATCGTTTAAAAACCACCGATTTTATGTATCAGAAAAACCTGCTTTAACTTCATAGGTATAAATTGAAAAATATTCCGTTGAAACCATTGTAAACTACTAACGGCTGCTGCGTTCGAATTTCATTTAAATAGTTTTAAAATCTTGGGCACAAATACTTTGCAATAAATGTATTATACAAATTAAATTAAATGCTGCCGATTATTTTTCAAGAGTTAATTAATAATCGATTGCCGCGGTTCCAAAATATTATTCGTATGGTTTGCAAGAGTCCACAGTCCAAAACTACGCACGTGAAATTAATGATCTCTTCTATCACATATTAACTGTTATGCACCTGAAATACTGCGAAAATGCCATTAGTAGTCAACCAAAAACGAAAAATCTGTGCAA